TATTTTCGTCCAATGTTGACAGTACCGTATTTGTTAGCGTCGCGCTCGCACGTCACGGTTGGTGTATTTATTTTTCTCCGTACAATTTTTTTTTTTTGTCGTGTGGTGGAAGTTAGACAGTATTTTTTTGAATTATTATTCATTTATCCGAGTTATTTCGATTTCGGACATACAAATGGCTAATAAAAACCAAGTAAATGCTTGGTTAGAAGAATTCGACGACGATATAATTTTGAGTGATAGTGATGATTCCGTCAACGACCCTGACTTTATTGAACATCTGGACCATACTAGTGCCCATCAACTTAGTGATTTAGAAAATGATGATGATTCATACGATACTGATGATAATTATGTTGCTACATCTGAAACTGATTTTTATTTGGGCAAAGACAACAAAACAAAATGGCTAAAAAATCGACTTGCCAATAATACCAAAAAACGAACCCATAATATAATTACTCAGCGTTCAGGTGTAAATTCAATAGCGAAACATGCTGTTAGTATGATAGACTGTTGGAAGTTGTTTTTTCCCGATTCCGTAATAAATGAAATAGTAGTATATACAAACAAATATTTAGATAAAATACGTAAAAAATATCAACGACAAAATATCATACCAGATACTGATAAAGACGAAATCGACGCGCTTTTTGGTCTTTTATATCTTGCTGGATTTTTACGCAGTAACCATCTAAATTTAAGTGTTTTGTGTTATATTATTTGTTAGAAGCATACAAAGCATTAATATTTATAAATAAAGCAACAAAACAGTTTTTATTTCACTCAAGATGGTCTAATTTAATATGTGAGCAAAACGCTAACACGTCACTAACGATGTCAAAATATTAGCGTCACCAACGACGGGTTAATATTGTTTATTGTTATTGTTATTGTTATTGCATTCAGGTTGCTTGCACCAACTGGAAACGGGTGCTGATGGTGCTGTCCGGCGGCACCGCGGCGTCGTCGGGCGGGCCCGACCTGTCGCAGATCCCGGCCGACGTGGCGCACAAGCCGAGCACGCTGGACCGGCTGAGCGACTACCCGGCCGCGCGGGCCACCGACATGCTGAACACGTACACCAAGTTCCTGTTCGTCCGGCACCCGTTCGAGCGGCTGCTGTCCGCGTACCGGAACAAGCTGGAGCAGCGGCACGACAGCTCGCGGTACTTCCAGTCGCGGTTCGGCCGGCGCATCGTCAAGCGGTACCGGGCGAACGCGACCGAGCAGTCGCTGCGGCGCGGCGACGACGTGACGTTCGCCGAGTTCGCCGAGTTCGTGGCCGACACGCGGGACACGGTGTTCAACGAGCACTGGGCGCCCATCGACAGGCTGTGCCGGCCGTGCGCGGTCAACTACGACTTCATCGGCAAGCACGAGTCGCTGTTCCGCGACTCGGACTATCTGCTCAGGCACGTGGTCGGCGTGGCCGACGTCAAGTTCCCCAAGGGCCCGGACTCCAACACGTCCACGCAGCTGGTCAAGTACTACACGTCGCTCGACCACAACACCATACTCCGTCTGTACGGCGTGTTCGAGTTGGACTTCAAGTTGTTCAACTACGATTTGCAAAACATTTTGGGCTACGAGGTCGGCTAACGATGCTTTTTTTCGCCCCGCCGCGCGCAAAGGCGCGCGCGGGTGTCCCAGTCAGATCTTACTCCGCTTTCCATCGCCCACACCGCATAACAATATCGAAAGGGTTATAGAAATCTTAGCACGTCCCGGTCAAGGGGCTTTATATCGGCAGGGTTAAAACCGCAGCAGGGTTTACTCCGCGGGTAAGATTCGACTGTTTCACCGGGTCCGTACAGCATTTGGCGAGGAGCGGAGTCAGTTGCTGCCTAGGCTCTCTTCCATACCGACTCCCGGGCTCCGAACTTGAGATTTTTCGTTAACGACCTTCCTCTATTATTTTCCGGTCGATTTTTGTTCGATCGTTTTCATTATTCAACGCGTCGCGTCGAAGGCTCGATCGAATAAAATTAAAAACTATTACAACTGTTTTCAACCACCACTCGCGTTCCTAACCCTTCGATCCGTAACATATATATACATTACATACGCATGGAAATAAATGTTTTGGCGGTGTAAGAAATATACATCGTTTCTTATTATTAATATTATTTTTCCGTGAACAATATTTTTGTGGGTTTTGCGGCGTTTCTCTACATCAAATTTAGTATTGTATACATACAGTGGGTCGTGAACTGCGAATGCAATTGTATCGTAACATCGTATTTGTATTCAATATGTACACTACGAGAGCGTTGTAATACTATGCGTCAACGGACAAAACGACTACGAGCTCCCCGAGACCGGCAATTTTTAACATAATATTGTACATAGTATTTAATTCGGCATTTCTAACGCTTCACAGTGCCTGTCGCGTTAACCGCTCCGTATAATAAATCTATAGATATTATTTATATTATGTAGTCGTGTTTATCGTACACGTTGAGATTTTCTCGATATTGAAAATGTATTATGCAAATTATTTATCATCTCGGTTGTATCCGTGTAACGCAAAACGTTGTAATTTTTGTAAATTCATTACTAATGCCTTGTAAAGTGTCAGCTAGTAATATTGGCTTATTTTTTTATTGCCGACGTAATGTTACGTCTTTTTAACTGTGATTTGTTTTTGTGTTTGATTTGTTGGATATTTGTTGTTATGAACGTTATATATATTATTTTAATTGCTGGTTTTATAGAATATTTTCATGAACCATTAAACTATTATACATTTAAGTAATAAAGCGATTTGTTTGTATTTATTTAACGACATTCTCTCCATACAGTGGACTGTATTAAATTCGATTTTAATTGCCTTTTAAATCGTATTACAGAGGCAGAACGTAAAAATGAAGGATACACATGGGTTGGACCGTAAAGGCAAAGTATAAGCGCATGCTTTACTATCAAACGGATTTCGATATTATTATCAAGAGATATCACGTATTTCAATGAAATAAAGCGTTGACACAATTACCATTACAATATAATTTATGTTGATGTGTAATAAATATTACATTTGACTCGTAATAGACTTATTATAAAATTAACAACCTACGCTACCTCAGTGACATACATTCAATCTTGCACTGGGGGGGGGGGGGGGTAAAAAAAAAATCCAAAATATTTTTTTTTCGTTGCATAAATAAATAACTGCTATAAATAGATACATATTTTATACAACTTTTTTAACAATTTACGGTTTACTTTTACATTACAGTAAATTAGTAAGTATAGGAATATAAAAACAGCATAGTTAACAAAACTTTTCAAACACCTATCAATATAATTATATGTATAATTATTATAATATTTGTATACTTGTATATTTTAAGTTCAAAGCGTAACAATGAAACTACAAATAAATTACACGTTATCAATTATATCACGATTATTTTTTTGGCCCTGGGGGGATTTTAACCCGACTCCCCCCCCCCCTCCGTATGTACGCCACTGTGCTACCTAGTATACGAATATAGCTGAAACGAATTTCAAGTATAATCTGTCCCTTGTAAAAAACAAATCCGTTTTTGTATTATTTTCCAAACGGTCTTACTGAGGTATTCGTAATTTGTATACATATTTTTTTTGTTGGACTGCAATTCACATCAAAAACCACTGTCAAGACCTGTGTAACGTTTTGTATTATATACTTTTTTTGATAGGTTATCGCCATAGGCGTGCGCAGACCTGTATTTCAGGGGGTGCCTACAAGGACCGTCCCAAGGTTTTTCGGGACCAGGGGCAAATTTGAGGGCCCTTCGACCATAATAATAAGATATGATAAACAAAATACTCATTGAGAACAAAAATATTCTTGCCAACGTATTTTTCCAAGCCTCAACCAATCAAATTAATGTACTGCCACTACACATCTACGTAATAGAATCGAATATTATTCGTATTATTTATAATTTAATCGCAACAGAGTCGAATCGGGACGACTTGTCTCACAAGCGGCATGGCTTTAATCGCCGACACGCAGCTCAACGTAATCGAGGCCTTATCATCGATTATTATGCATCAAGAATTCATGGGGCCCCCAAAAAAATATTCCAACAACGGGTCCTGTGGCAAAACGGTCCCCGTCCCCTCTGAACGGCCCTGGTGCCTACGACACACTTTCGGACCGTATTTTAAAACGGAGCGTTCGCACGTTCAACGAACTGTAGCGCATAAATAATTAAACAAACATGACCGCCCGCCCGCCCCCCCTCCCATCCGCCGCGGGTGACGGCTGCGGACGAAATGTGAAAAATGTTACCGAGCGATTTGAAAACGTAGCGCGGCAGAGCACGGACGCTAGAGTACGCGCGGCGCAACCAGTAACCTAACC